GTGTAGAACTTATACTCACAACTTTGCTTCTTTTTCGATTGGTTCCTCTCAAAGAGAACAACTCTTCCACCTTTGTCACCTGTGGCTAAGAATTCGCCTTGGTCATTAAATTCAACGGTAGAGATGATATCAGCTTCGGTGATATTCTCGATATCCCCTTTATCACCAAAGCATTGTGAAAATTTCCATGTGTCTTCCATAGTCATATTACGTTAAACCATATACTCCTTTTAATAGCTTTACAATTTACCGGATTGTTGCTCTTGAATCTGTCGATGATGGTATACGTGCGATAGAGATGTTGGTTCGGTCCTCTTTTTCTGTTTGCAATTTATATCCACAATAAAAATTGATGTATGTTTTCAACTCAATTATACCAGTATGAAAGATATCTAGCAATAGTTAATCGTTTATGATAAATTGAAATATAATAAGTCACTTTTAGTCCAGTCTCCTTATTAATTGATTCATTCTTTAGGCCATGAATTTCGCAAATGGCCAATTAAATTTTTAGTCATATTATATACAGGGAAGAGTATTTTTTCTTCATCAATATGCCAAAAGATCAACGAATCCATCCGGTGGAAGGACAAATGTAGAGGCTAGGAGGAGTGCAGTCGAACGCAGAATAGCGTCACAGACCGACCAATCAAGTGGTTTGTGAACAAAGAGGGTGACAAGTGAAACATCAGAAATGGTGATAACGGATTCAGCATTTATAGGGGAATGGCCTGCCACATTGGACCATAGAGCAACCTTAGACATCTACATCAAGCTAGTAAAGTACATATTTTTTATTATTGAAAGATCATGAACGAAAAAGCCCAATCAACAGTAACTGCTGGAAAATTATATAAAAACATAAACAGGACTAAACTAATTTAACAAGTCATCGTAAAACACTTAGATTTACAATAAACGGTCAGCAAATTTAGTTAGCTTTCTTAGCAGCATCAGCTGGGTTGACTTTCTTGTCAGCAGTGAATCTCTTCCTTTGTGGAGGAGCTCTGATTCTTCTGTCGGTTCTAGATCTGACTCTGACGATTCTGGCGTGGATGGCACAAGAGACACAGTAGTGCAATTTGTTGTATAATTTTGGTAAAGCGTATTCAGAGTAGACTGAAGCTTCGGATAAATCTCTAACAGCAGCAGCTTCAACCATGTTTCTGATGGTGACTCTCTTGATGGCCTTATCCTTAGGAACACATCTAGCACAGTTTAAACATCTAACTGGCTTAACGTGACCTCTACCCTTCTTATTTCTACCGTTGGAAGCTCTCTTTTTTGGCATGTTGAACTATAATTATGTTAGTACTCGGTTCCGGTTTCCATGGTCAATGCTCACACGTCCAGCGATAATAAATCAATTGCTACCATTCCCATATTTCCCATTATCCTTCTAACAACGTGCCAACAACTCATTACATTGTGTCATGCTAATATAGTGTTCCAATCTCTTTTAATCCCAACCAAAAATATTTTTATTAATACTAAACTTAATTTTTCACCGGCCAAAACTGTTCTTACATGGCCATTCTATGTCTATATTGTATCTAGGAACGAGACTAATATTCTCTATTATTGATTATATCATTAAGCTTTCAATGGTACAGTATACTCTATACATACCTATTATTATATTGATCAGAGAAATAAAATAATGAAAAATTATGTATTTTCACTTTTAATAAGATTGGTGAGAGGGTAGACTGAGAGTACTGTCGACTGAAAAAAAAAATTATGAGAGCGGTCGTGAGTGGCTCAGAAACATAAAGCAGTCACATTCAGATATCAATCACGAGAAATATTCAACTTTAGGGTTACAACCGCGACATGTCTAGATTGTTTGATTTTGTGTCGCTAATCATTTTCAATATATCATGTGACACATTCGTTCCCTGGAGATTATCTACAGGTTAAGGTCGGTCACCCTCAGCCAATTACGTTGAAGATCATTTCCTCATAGTTAAGACAGGCTCATTATGGGAGATTTTGTGTAACTAGTCTCGATATTAGCTGATTTTTTGTTTGTTAGTTCATGATATGTTATAGGTAATCAGTTTAAATTAATTCGTTTAATTTGCATATACCATAGTCAATAGTGTACGTAGAAACATATATTCACAAGAAGAACCAGTTTCTGGAAACTGAGGGGGATCTGGGCATAGCGGGTAAACACGATGTTTACATGGAGAAAGTGAAAAAAAACCCTCTAGTGAGATGTCCAATGAGAAGAGAAGGAATTTGGTAGTTGGAGAAAAACGATCAATTGGTCAAAGAAAGGGGGATATGGATAGGGGAGTGGAGTGCGATGGGTAATTGGGTCTCAAATTGGCGAAATGGGCGATGGGGAAGATATGACGGGGACATGGAAGACAATACGAGGATATTAGAGGATGAAGGAGCGCCCGAGACCCACGAATGCCATAGAATGGGGCGTGGTGGGTCGGGAGATGGATAGGATGACAATATTGCCCATTGAAGGCCTCAGATGAAAGATGGAACGGTTCAGACGCAGTGAAAGTACCAATACTAACTAATATCTAGCATGCTTTCTCGTACTATACGTTTTGCTAAGCAAACTAGATTCTTGAGCACCTCAAGAATCTTGATGTCTTCCCCACAAAACAATGTTGCTGCTAAGACTGCTACCAAGTTGTCTGAAGTCACTGGTCCAGACGGATCTTTGATTGGTCCTGGTGCCAAGGAAGGTACTATCCCATCCGACTTGGAACAGGCTACTGGTTTAGAAAGATTCGAAATTTTAGGTAAGATGGAAGGTATCGATGTTTTCGACATGGAAAACCCAGTCTTTGAAGGTTCCGGATCTATGAAGGACCCATACTTAGTCCCAACTTACATGGGTTACCGTTACGTTGGATGTATGGGTAAAGGTGGTGACGACCACAAGCCTTACTGGATGAGGGTTGAAGAAGGTAAGCCAGGTAGATGCTGGCAATGTGGTAACGTGTATTCTGCCAAATACTTGGGTGAACCAGGTCACCAACACCATTAGACATTTTCAGGTGTTATCTGACCCACACTCATCTCAGCTCTTCTAGAAAGTGACTGGCCGTGGATGCAAATGATACATCGGTGTCTATTTGTTTACGTTTAGTTAGGACTTAAATCATTTGTTACACTTTACATTTGCATTTTTTCATTCATTTTCTGGAATCATCGATTAAATTTATTGATTATACGTTACCTTTACTCTTTTGTTCATCAGCTCTTATTTTATATTCCTAAAATATAGTATATTCATTTGTTATATTGGATGTAGGCAATATAATGCACATTCGTGCCATATAATGGTTATAAAGTGTTCCGTAGTATAGGTGTGAACTTCCTAAATCGGACACCAAATTTTGGTGCTCATACTATAAAATAGTGATTTCGTTCCACCCTGAATTTTTTTTATTATTCTTCAGCACCAAAATGAAACCACAAGTACTTTTCATCGGTGATTTGAATAAATCATTACCGCAATACGTTGAGTTCACCAAAAAATTCGATTGCATTGAATATGAATTAACTACACTCGAGCAATTGATCGAAGATTTCAAAACCAAATTCCAAAATGTACAAGCTATCTACGGGGCATGGTTAGGGTTCTTTCTACTCGGAGGATTCCGTAATGAAGTGCTCCAGAATGCTCCTTCAAGCCTTAAAGTGATTTCTATCTGTTCGGTTGGGCATGATGGATATGATGGTAAAGAAATGGCTGAAAAAAATATTATCTTGACTAATGTTCCCTCGGACGGTGCTAGTGAACCAGTAGCGGAATTGGTGTTATACAATACTTTGTTGAGTTTCAGGAACTTCAAGATCTTCCAGGATAATTTTTCAAAAGACACCAACAATACAGTGCAAATCAGAAGACAATTGGAAACGGCAAGTTTCAAGCCCGATAATGGAACAACCATCTTAGGAGAAAAGAAAAAGTATGCGTTTGGACATTACGCAATTGATAGATTGAACTTATCTCCACGAAACCACAATGTAGTGATTGTAGGATTTGGTAAAATTGGACAAACAATTGGAAAGCGCTTGGCTGAGATCGGTATGAACATTCATTACACCAAAAGATCGAAATTGTCGCAGAAAGAAGAAGCACAGGTACCATATTCAATTACATACCACAAAAAGTTAACGGACGCAAAGGATATTGCCGATCTAGTTGTCATCGCATGTCCAGGAACACCAGAAACAAAACACATGATTAACAAGGTTTCGATAGATGCATTTGCTAAGCCAATCAGAATTATCAATATAGGTAGAGGTTCGGTCATTGATGAGCAGGCACTTGTGGATGGCTTAAAATCGGGCAAAGTGGTGTTTGCCGGCTTAGACGTCTTTGAAGACGAGCCAAGAGTTCATGAAGAATTGTTCGGAAGACAAGACGTAGTATTGACTCCGCACATCGCTGCTTCAACCGTCGAAAATTTTGACCATACAGCTATTATGGCCATGAAGAATATAGAAAATGTCTTATTAGAGGATGGCAACGGTATTGACAAAGTTAATTAGACTACGAATACATGCTGCGAAATAGATTCTTGCTAAAATTAAAATATTACCTCTAGATGGACCATAGCTGTATGCAATAAGTATAACTCTAGAGTTCAATGTTACCCCTTACATGATACTATCAATATAAATAACTAAGGCGAACAAGCTAGAAAACCGTAGTATTTATATCGTTTCCTTCTATACGCATAAGTTAACAGACGCGTTCTACGAATAATCTGTTTGAATATCCAAGTGTAGTTTTACAATACCAAATCTTCCTCTTGACAGCATCAATATCAAGACTATACCATGCTTTTACCTGCATTTATTTGTTAGTAATAACGTCTATAGTGGTTTCCCCTAAACTATATCGTGTGTATACCATAAAGGGAATGGTCTCGATAACACTTGAGAATCGAATCGACTTTTGATTTGGTGATCAGGGAGAGACCAACGAATCGGTTTGGTTATTAAACATTATAGGCCATATGCTGTCATTATATATAGGTGTCTACAGGGCATTGTACGATTATGCGGCCCAGTCAGATGAAGAACTTAACGTCAGTGCTGATGACTTGTTATACTTGTTAGAAAGGTCAGAAGTAGACGACTGGTGGAAAGTTAAGAAAAGGGTAATCCCAGCTGGCGACGAAGAAGTGGACGAGCCAGTTGGATTGGTTCCATCGAACTATATTGAAGAAGTATGTAATTTTACTTTGAATTGACTGAGATCTGCTATAAACGCGATACTAACATAGAATTTAGGCGCCAATTGTTGATAAAGCTACATCATTATATGACTATGACAAGCAAACAGAGGAAGAAATTTCGTTTAAAGAAGGCGATCGGTTTAATGTATTTGATATGAATGATCCGGATTGGTATTTGGTGGGGGATGCTCAGACTAATCAACTATTTGGGTACGTTCCGGCAAATTATCTCGAAGTTGGTGAACAACAACAGCAAATTCCAGTTCAACCACAGACACGTAGTCAGGGTCAAAGTGCGGCCGGTATGTCTTTTGCTAATTTTGGGCCACCTCCAACTCACCGTGACAGGGGTATGTCTGCCTCTCCGCAATCACAACCACAATTCCAACCACCCCCAGTGCATCCATCTCAAGCTCATAATGAAACCGAGGAACATGAAATTAACGAACCTCAAGAACAAGAGGTTCTTGATAATGATATCGACGATGATGCCCCACCTCCTCCAATGCCTTCTAGGCCTTTAAATGAAACTCCTGTTAGAGAAAATAAACCTCTTCCTACACAGTACGGCCAAGAAGATGAAGAAGACATTAAGGATACTAGAGAACATAAGTTTGATGGTGACTATTTTACCTGGTATATTGATGAAGTTGATGGGCGCAAAAAGAGAGCTGTTATATTTTCCATCGGTCATGGAAATGTAATTTTAAAACCAAACACAACGAATCCTAAGAAACTTAAGTTAAAGTCTGCATCGTCTCTTGATCAGCAATGGAAAATTAGGGATTTGACTGATTTCAGTCATGAGAAAAAACATTTATTTTTAGAATTCAAGAACCCAAGTGCTTCAATTGAATTGCATACTGGCTCCAAAGATGTAGCGGAAGCAATTATGTCTATTTTGGGAGATTTAAAGGGTGCTGAAAATGCTAAAGGATTACGAGAGGTTGCCAGAGCTTCTCAGGCTTCGACAGGAGGATCAAATAGAAAGATTGGAAGGCTTATGTATGATTTCGAAGCACAAGGTTCTGATGAATTGATGAGTAAGGAAGGTGACGAAGTTTATATTGTTAATGAGTCTAAATCTAAAGATTGGTGGATGTGTGAAAACGTTGAAACTAAAAGACAAGGTGTTATTCCATCATCCTATATTGAAATTGTTGGAACCTCAAACTTAGAGAGATTGACAGAAGGTCCTCAAAGACAAAAATCTACGAGAAGCGCTAGATCTTCTAGAGGTAGGGTTGTGCAAGGTGATGATGTGGGACACAGAAAAAGTAAAAATCATCATCGTACCAGAGAAGAGCGTAACAGAATCAGAGAACATGATCGTGCGCAAAGAGACAAATCCAGCCACGGGGATTCAAATGATAAATCAATGCCTAATTATCATAGGGTTAGAACGTGGATTGATAGTTCGGGCTCGTTTAAGGTAGAGGCTGAATTCTTGGGCTGCGTTGAAGGCAAGATTCACTTGCATAAGACTAATGGTGTCAAGATTGCAGTTGCTGCTGCAAAGTTATGTCTTGAGGATTTAGAGTACGTGGAAAAGATTACAGGAACATCCTTAGAATCATATAAAGAGGAGGTCACAAATCAAAATGTTAAAAGAGCGAAGTCTCAAAAAACTGGTGTCACTCAATCAGCTACGTCTACTATTAATGATATAGCTCCACCTCAACCCACAAGACCAAAGACGACAACTGCTATTTCGACTAGCGAACCGGAATATGATTGGTTTGAGTTTTTCCTTTCTTGTGGTGTGGATCTTGGTAATTGTCAACGTTATACTCTCAACTTCAATAGAGAACAAATGGATGAGAATATTTTAGCGGACATTAACCCTTCATTATTACGTACATTAGGCTTAAGGGAAGGCGATATTTTGAGAGTAATGAAATTCTTAGACAATAAATTTGATAGAAAGAAGACAACTGCCGAAGATGTTCCGGCGGGTGGCCTATTCACTGAACCAACTGGTGCGTTGAAAAATAACAATTCAGCGGCTGAAGTTTTCAAAGTGGATCCTAAAGCATTACCATCTCCTCTGAGATCTGAGGAACAGATCGCCGCCCAGCAAGCACAATCCAACAAATTTGAAGACGATGCATGGGCAGTTAAACCAGCAGCTAGGTCTAGTGAAGACGTATCAAAACCTCCTGCCACTTCTTCTGCTCCTACTCCTCAGCAGCCACAATATACAGGTGCATTGCAAGATTTGGTTAATATCAAACCATTAGAACTGAATAATAAGAATGTACCGCCACCTGCTACTCAACAAGAGCAAAAACCAACTGCCCCAACCTTGACTCCGGTTAAAACTGGAAATGGAGTATCTTCGCAACCGACTAGCGGAACAGTACCAGCTCAACGTACTGGTGGTTTAGTTCCTGTTCAACGTACTGGTGGTTTGATCCCTGTTCAACAGACTGGTGGTCTTATTCCTGTTCAGCCGACTGGATTTATGCCAATTACTGCTCAACCAACTGGATTTATCCCAATCCAAGCAACGGGAATTTTGCAGCCTCAACTTACTTTTGGAATTGTTCCATTACAAACCGGTGCTACCACTTTTACAGGGCAAGCGACTAGTCAACAACAAAAAACTGGTAACAACATTCCGCAAACAACTTTTGGTCAACCTGCGTTCCAACCATTGCAAACTGGTAATGTGACACTTCCTCAGACCTCATTTGGTCAAGCACCAATGATGACAAGTCAAGTTACTGGTGGGATGCCGTCTACATCATTTGGTGGTCAGCCATTATCTTTGCAAAGAACCGGTCCTATGGTTCCAACGCAGAGAACTGGTGGCCAGATTACCGGAGGCATGATGCCTCAGACCAGCTTTGGGCAATCGAACCCTGGTATGATGCCACAAACATCATTTGGTATGCAGAACACTCTGAATATGTTCCAGCCGATGGGAGGACAGGCCACTGGTGGATTTCAGCCTAATATAATGCAGCAACAACCATCATTTGGAGGACAAGCCACTGGAGGATTCCAGCCAATTAATAGCAATATGCTGCAGCAACCTTCGTTTGGCAACCAGATGCCAGGTGGGTTCCAATCTAATATGCAACAACAGCCTTCTTTTGGTCAACCACAGATGATGCCACAAACTAGTTTCGGTATCCAGCAACAACAACAACAACAACAACAACCATCATTCAACCAGTTCCAGCAACAACCTGATATGAACCAATTGTCGAATATGTTCCAAAATACGGGCATTAATGGATCAAATACATTTAACCAGCCCCAAGCGCAATTTCCAACAACAACATTTGGTCAGCAACCTCAATTCCAGCCTTTACAATCTCAACCTACAGGTGCTGGATTTGGTAACGCTCCATCTACCTTGCAAAGCCAATCTACAGGCGCAAGAAGAGCTAATCTTCAAGCTGCGACACCTGACAATCCTTTCGGATTTTAAAGGTGCTAATTTACGACTTGTTTTATTATGTTCTATAATTCGTATTTTTTTTCCAACATTTTTAGTTTTTGATTTCCTTTAGAAATTTATTTACATACCTTTTGTTATATAAGTCATTTAGTATTTGTATCTAGTACGAGTATTGTGTATTTTTATATAATACCCCATATTTCATTTTTGATGTGATTGTTTCAGATTTTCGCTATTTTCACACTTTTTCACAGCCAAATATTTTTATTGTTTTATCTTTACTACTGTTCATTGTATAGTGATTCAATTCTTGTTATTTGCAGATTGATATTGCCTAACGATGCGAGGCGCTTTAGAAACAATAACGAATTTCATCTTGGAATCGAAGGAAGAATTGATTCAGGATCCAATTAGAGGAAAACTATGTGTTATACATAACTTATTCAATAAATATAACGAAAAGAATGGGTCAGGGTCCAGCTATACATTCCAAGCATTTATTAGCTTAGTACTCAAGTTATGTGAAATATGCGGGCGTGCATTAGAATTTGATACTGACTTACAAGAATACAATTGGAATGAGACTACAACTTCAATAACCGAACCATGTCTCAAATGGATCAATTGGCAACGGTTGGCCATTTTTAAAGAAAGATTGAGCAATTTGCAGATAAAGGAGTCCAAATACAAAGAAAGTAATCGATTGTCTATGCATCAGTATAATAGCAAATATGATTTTTTAGTTTCCTTCTTGGAACAACCATTGCAAACCACCATTAAAGAGGAAAGACCTACTAACTACGGTTCGAATCTTGAAGTGAATATAGATTTGCCAATGCTAGATAATCTTTTGACAAAGCCCATAGCTCTGATTAGCTTAGCGCAAGAGAAAGTCCAATTGAAAACAAGAAGTAAGCCTTATTACGAAATATGCGATGATCCACATCATTCTCAAATATTATCTAACGTTTGTCTTAAAAGAGAATTACTAAAACTGGGCTTACCTGAATTGCTGTATGTCCACAAGATCATACAACAAGCTCATAATGTTGTTCAACCTGAAATACTCAAATGTTCACAAATAAAGATACATTATTTGCCAATTCTAAATAATCATACCGATTTATACTTAGGAGACTGTTCGTATTTGGATACATGCCACAAGATGAAAACCTGTCGCTACTTGCATTACTATAGTTTGTTTCCAATTGCTAGCAAACAAGACGACCACGAACAGGGTATTACTAAACGCTCATCGGATCACGAGTATACCGTGGGTGAATGTTATACAGAGTATCAAAGGAAACAAATACCTGCGCAATGGATCAATTGTGACGTTAGATTTCTTCCGTTCCTGATTTTAGGAAAATTTGCAGTCATTGTTTCAGACCCAGCGTGGGATATCCATATGTCCTTGCCGTATGGAACATGTAAAGATTTCGAACTTCTATCATTACCTATGCACGAGTTGCAAGATGAAGGCTTAATATTACTTTGGGTTACCGGAAGAGCAATCGAAATTGGTCGCCAAGCATTGCAAAATTGGGGTTACAATATAGCGGATGAAATGATCTGGATTAAGTTGAATCAATTGAAGCGTACTATTGTAACCGGTAGAACAGGCCATTGGCTAAATCATTCTAAAGAGCATTTGCTCGTGGGAATTAAAGGGGACCCACCGTGGATAAATAGGTTAATGGATATCGACGTGATTGTTAGTGGAACTAGGGAAACTCTGAGGAAACCGGATGAAATATATGATATTGTTGAACGAATCGTGGGGACTCACTCTAGAAAATTAGAAATCTTCGGAAGAGATCATAATGTCCGACCTGGATGGTTAAGTATGTATAAATTTTACCAAGGACTTTCGATTAGCATACTAACATATTGCAAGCAATTGGAAACCAGTTACAGGGAACGTCTCTCTACGAAAAGGAAATTTCATTGAAGTACGATGAATATCTCAAGGACTCAAAACTAAAGAAGTCGAGTAAATTTATTACACCTAGAAATAACAAAGACTAACTATTTGCCCCTTGTGCAACAGCAGCAGCTTCTTTTTGTTTTATTTCCACGATTCTTCTTCCTGCCCCATTATCCATTCTCTTTTTTAAATCTAATTTATAACCAAGCCAGAATGCTATTTCAAATGACACAAAAAATGGTGCCAATACAACCGCTTGTAATAAATTGTCCAATAATGCAGGTGCCCTTTTTTCATGAACACCATGCCCATAAAACTGAGCTAACCACGAGAGAATATGAATAGCAATTGCATACTGTATGAATTGTTTTTGGGTTATAGCGGAAATGTCATTTAAATTCAAATAAACGGTCTTCAATACATACGCTAAAGTGCCTAGCAATGCCATTGATGGTATTCCTAATTGCCAGTCAAGTATGGAATAGTACAAACCATAACCCCATGCTAAGGCACCTCCCAAATTAGCATATGGATACTCTTTGCCAAATAAATCCACAGGGCTTAGGAATGCTATGGTTGAAAATAAAATAATTGGGATACAAAATAAATGAATACTAACATTTGTATGATTGAAATGGTACGACCTATAGAAGATCAAATGTGCTTCTAAATCCAAGAGACCCATGTTTGTAGATTCTACCACAATAAGCAACGATAGGAAGTTGTAAAATTACCAGCTGTAGGGACCTCGCTAATTTATAAATTTGAGTTGCAATCATGTGATATCATTAAAAGAGGAGATTTTGCTTTCTAGTATTTGCTTTGTTTATTCAATACTATATAACGAAATATATACTTATGATTTGAATTACCTGTTGCTCATTCTCTCAAATCTAATGATGGTTTCTTTATAATTCTCTTTCTTTTGGTTTGTTGAGAAGAAGATTTATCGAATTTTGCAGCAGAATGTAAATCTCTACCAATGTTGTCTAAGTCTTTGACTTTATAGATTCTTACAATCCAGTTTTGAGAAGTGAAAGCTTCTTCCACGATATCTAATTCTGGAGATTGACTCGCAGGAATAGCTTGGTTTCTAACTCTATCCATACCGTCTCTACCATTGAATAAATCGGTGTATCTGTAATATGACATTTTGTACATCAAAGAGTCTTTCATTGCTTTGGAAGCATCACCATCAACCTTGTATTCACCTCTTTCTGTAAAGTAGTCACGCTCATGTATTTCATCGGGCCAGATGCCTTCGGAAATTCTGACCATCCATAAGAATTTATTTATATCGTCACCGGAGTAGCCAAGTAAACCACCAAAGATAACTAATACATAGTCAACATCATGCTTCTTCAAGATGTCATATGCAACATCTTCTGAAGAACACATTGCTTTACCAACAGTCGCAATGTGTGTGTTGTTCCATGTGTTGTTGTCAACTAAGGTAGTACGGTCAGCCATTCCACCGATTTGATAGCCATAATCCCACCATGCCATAACCTTAGCATCTTCTGGGGTGTTCATTCTCAACCAGTAGTAGGCTTCTCTATAATCATCAATAATATTTTGAGAACCATCTGGGTTTCTTGAAGCTAAAACAACGGATGGGGATGAGTACGCATTCGAAGTGACCCATGTACAATGATACACGAAGTAAACAAGATAAAATGTGAATGACAATAAGACAACTGCCTTTGACAATAACTGAATGAACTTAGAAGGATTTGATGCGGAAGACGAAGATGAAACTTTTGATTTAGATTTCTTAGAATCTGTTTTAAGATCTTCCGATGAATCAGATTTGAAAATATCAACAACGTTCAAGTAAACATCAAACAATTTAGACAATGCAATGGCAGCCGAAACACAAATGATTGGCGTCAAAGTCAACATTAATCTAACCATAACACCTGCGAAGTAAGAACATAAAACACCATAAATAATAACGAACACATGTTCATCTCTTAATTCTTGGAAGCATAAATAGATACCAGCTGGGAATAACCAAATCAACATATTCGTGTCGAAGAAGAAAGCAGGCCATGCAGTAGGTTGATGTTCGGAAACAGACGCAATGATAGGAATGTGAATCTTGGCATAGTTAGTATCCCATAAAGAATAGAAACGGCCAGTCCAAGGTGCAATCCAACCTAAGGCTGTCAAAGCAAATAATCCGGCGACACCTAAAATAGTGATCAAAGATAACGAAACCATCAAAAATCCTTTAAATTGTTTAGAGGGAACCTTAGACTTAACGTAATGACCCACTGCAACTAGTTGCAATAAGCCGAAAACCCCTAAAGCTGCCATATGGTCGTTGGATCTGATTGGCAAAAATCCGACAAAAGGAATTTGCATAGAAGCTAAAGTACCCAATGCATACCACGTCGTGTAAGCAGTATATAATCTATGATTATAACGACCCATTAAAATCAAAACAAAGATGTGTAAAGGTATTAAGTTGGTGATGAAAACATAACCACCCCAGGCTGAAACCATGTAGAAATAGAATAAAGCTGTTAAGGTACCATAGAACACAGAACCAATTTTCATAGCCTTGATCCAAAAGTAGAATGTGGCCATTAACAAGGTGATTGCAATTGCTTCGTTATCGTACGAACCAGCAACCGATCTCGAAATATAACCTGGCGCAATACCCATAAAGATGGCAGCTAACAACCCTGCGTTAGAATCCTTCATTTCCTTCGTAAGGAAGTACGTCGAAATTGCCGTTAAACCAGAAAATGCTGGCGCCAACATAACACAAATATTACGAATGTCAACTGGCAAACTGAACCATTCCCTCAATGTATGCCAGATTATACCTGAAGTAACCATCAATCCTGGATACAATGTTCCTCCAGTGACCCTACCCAAAGGATACCAGGTTCTATCATCGAACCAATTCAAGAATTCGTAGTACGAATGTGTGACCAAGTATTTGGTGGCTCTGAAGTTGAACCATGGATCAAATTCGTGAATAATACTCTCATATCTAATAACTGAAAATAATCTTGATGAAATTGCGGCCCCGGCAATTGAAATAAAGATAATTACTTGTAATAGTAATCGAACAGTCTCTATATTCACCCCCAATACCTTCAATTGAGCCTTAGTTTCTACCATATTTGATTAACTATTTGATTATGGAAAGGATATAGATACTACTAGTCGTTATATTTAACCACCGTGTTGTTTGGGAGAATTTCCAAATGCTTATGTAATCATGAACGAAATTTTAATATACTGAAATGGGTACTATGGTATGGGTGCTTATATATATACTACTGCTACATAGAGCTTTGAATGAATGTTTATGTCAATTATACCAAACCAGAGTTTGCAATAAATAAATGATAATATGTAGGTTAGAAAGAACTCCAACTCCAGTTCGCAGGAACACTTCCAACAGGTTGGTCGTTTCTATTTGTAGTAGAATCACCCAACTTCAGGTTATTTACGGATTTTATTAGAGATTCTTTTGGCATCTTGCCAAGCTTGTCAGCAGATTGCTGTTTTTTCAGGATATGCGATGACTGGGGTGTGGATATTTTTTTGTTATATGTTGGGTTAATGGTAACACCGAATTCATGTTTCATAAACTCATTGTATTCTTCGATGCAATTATCACATACTTTGGACAAGGTACCACGACCTCCAGTAGTGAATTGGGCTAGATGATTGATGTAGAGATAATGTGATGTGTGTTCTTTGCAGTATATACCACCGCATTTTCTGCAGTGATGTCTTCTTTCGAAGAAATTGAATACCTTTGAGCATGTTGGAATTCCGCACTTGTTAACCGACTCATCTCTAATCCAATGCTTTCTTGTAGGAGCCTGTCTCAATATGGTTTCGTATTTTCTTTTGCTTACGGTGTACGGACCAGTGGGAGACATGACAGGTGGTGAGGAGCTTTCGGTAGATTTAAACGACTCGACAGAATTCGTCGATCCTCTAGACAGTGTAGACGTTAAGTTTTCTTGGAGTACATTGTGGAGCAAATGATTTTGTACAGACGGAGTCGTTTCTGAAGAGCCGCCTGGATGGCTATCGGAGGAGTCGTTTACATTGGATGGAAAAAAGTCGTTTTGGGGGGAGCTGGTTGCAGACTGACTTCGACTGATATCTTGGGTCATGCGTAAAACCGCTGGAATATACATGGGACTTCTTAAGCTGTTGATTTGTTTCAATTGTTTGTTGATCTTGGGTTTGTTGGGCTGATATGGGTGATGTTGTGGGCGAGGAACCGGTTGGTGTATAGGTACCTGTTGGCCCGATTTTCTTCTTGCATCACTAAGAGATGAAGGTCCGGTTCTTTGTGTCCCGCTATTTACTCCTGGTAAATCTTTTATGTGTGCTCTTACATTCTGTAAATGGTTTTGATGCACCTCATTATGGTATCTTTGAGTAGCCAGTATTTGACCTGCTGCATCATCCGTATTGGAATTGGTAGCAATGCTTGAATCAGACTGTTCCATTAAGCTTGGTAATGCCGGTGGGCGCTTTGGAGTACCTGATTTATTCGTGGGTGCACTCTCAGATGCTCTGCTAGAATTATTTGCCGGATTAGATGTCGTAGGCGATCTGTCACTGTTAGTAACGCTCGACGAAGGACCTGGAACCTCGTTCGGAACCTCGTTTGGGTTTAGTTTGGGTTGCCTCGTCAAGCTTGCAAACGATGATAAATCGACCTCTGCGGGTTGGTAGGGTTCTGGGTTTCTTGAAGATTTGTCCGTCAATTTAGACGACGACTTTCGCGATATCAGCTTCCTCTGCGGCATGCTTTCATCACCATTAATTATGGGCATTGGAGACAAGGTCAACTTTCTCAATGCATTTAACGTTAATTTCTGCTGTTGCATCATGGTATCCTGGTCTGCTGCCTCATCGTCATCATTCAACGACGTTGTGGAAGACGATCCATTTCCTTTACTTCCGCAGTCTGTTCCGTCACGATCTCCCTGGTAATTACCAGGCTGGCTGCTAAATGGAAGTCTCTGGCCTATTTCGACGTCGTCAACGTTACCTCTCAAGTTCGATATGCTTGATAGCACGGGAGCCTGGATGAACGACTGGAAGTTTTTTACCGTATTTGGATTACTGTGTGTACTTATAAAACTGTTCGTTCTCTGCAGTGGCTGTCCTTGTGGCCCCTGTTGCTGGTTATTGGTGTACAGTTGCTTCAATGACTTTAACGAAGCGGACGAAAGCACCGATTGAAATGACTGTGTTCTCGACCGCCTCACGTCCTTCTTCTTGAACATCAAGTCCCCCTGTTCCCCCTGGCTATCGTCGTTCTGTGTCCCTTCGTCCAACGTCAATTGCGTCTCTTGAAGCCCATTTCCATCCTCACCCCCATCCTCATCCCCAGCTACAACTCCGGAGCCCTCACGCTTCACGTCTTGTCTCACGTCCCCACCATTTTTTTCTGGCGAAGTGGGCGTCGATATCGTGAACCTCGTATTCCTCTGACCGCTATTTCTCATCTCAGCGCCTCCACCCTTGTCTTCATCTGTATTTCCGTCGCTAGCGACATTATTAGATTCAACCATATTCTTTAGTAATGCTACTAATTTTAGTGGCCGTCTTCTATCAAATATTCTTCAAATTCAGCTAACCGAATGCTTTCTGCGTACGTATGCGACCAATCAACTATTAATCACTTGAATATCTATATTTATCTCGTAATTACCTGCTTATCTCTGGTTAATTGGTAACGCTCTTTCAACAATATCATTGATTGTTTGGTACGGTAACCGGTCATGTGACATAATGCTGGCGATAACCACGACATCGCGACAATGTCGTGTTTTTATTTTTTTTCAGCGCTATATCCGAGACATCGTCTATTATCCATTATCCGCGATTATCATTCGCGACATCATTCGCGACATTGGTCTCAAAAGATCACCCCGGCCCAAATGGTCCAGATACGGGCCACCACAACCAACACAATTACCAGCCGGTAAATGTGTCGTGGTCTTCTGGAGATCGTATATAGTATGTGGGTCATTACCAACGTCTGGTTGGCTTCTTTACCGGACTGGAAGAGTGGTAAAAAGGCCCCCCGATTGATCCCCAGAATCCAATTACATAAGCGACTTACGAAGTGACAAATTAAAATAATTTCATTGGTTTAGTGCAAACGAAATATACCGGGACATAAATATCAAAAACTGAAATTATTGAATAGTTTCGTAGAAAACGCTTAATTTGATACATACATATTCAACCCACAAGATGATTTCACGTATTGGCTTAGGCTTAGTTAGACGTAAGTAAAGGATATTTTTGGAAAAGCTTCGTTTTGGAGGGGAGCACGGAGCCGAAGCACCGGACAAGGACGTAAAGAAGAAAACGAATAGACATACTAACCAAGACAGCAACTTCCCGTTCAATTGTTAACACAAGCAGACTTGCTGCCAGATGTGGTGGTATGAGAAGTATTTCCACTGTTAAAGCTTCCCACGAGCAAGAACAAGAAGTTTTAGTGGCCCAACGTAAGAACAGACCTACCTCACCACATTTGACGATTTACGAACCACAATTAACCATGGTCATGTCTTCGTTACACAGAATCACAGGTGTTTTCATGGCAGGTGGTTTCTATGCTTTGACCTGTGGATATGCTGCAGCTTCTATTTTGAGCATTCCATTTGATGCTGCTACCTTAGTTGGAGCATTTGCTGGTTTACCAGTGGCAATCAAGCTCACTGCCAAGGCCGCCATGGCCTATCCATTTGTATACCATGCTTTCAACGGTGTCAGACATTTAATCTGGGATTTCGGTAAGGAATTATCCATCAAGGGAGTCTACAGAACTGGTTATACAGTTACTGCTCTTACAGTCATTCTCGGTTCTTACTTGGCTTTCTTCTAATCTCCGCATAAATATGCTAAGTTTATTTATACGTATCGGTATATCTGATATTTACTTTATATTATATATTGATTTTAATTCGTTATATCATTATTTGTGACTTGGCTCTGTGCTCGCCAGAGTTTAATCTAAGTTTTTGATTCTACTATATGTTCTCTAGTCCATGGTTTCTAGCCGTCGCAAAAGTAGTCATTTTTTGAACTGGCTAAGCTCAATCTCTGAGTCTAAACATAAGCATGAATCATTCGTGCAGAATCCACAGGTGAAGTTTTTCTGTTTCTTTAATGAAACAGATTTCTTAGCCATAGACTTCTCTATTTCTTCATGTTCCTGTATTAATTCGTTGCTTCTCACAATATCTTCTGCTTCGTCCTTAATTATTAATTTGTCCAAGAAATCTCCTTGATTTACAAAATTTTGGTCTTCTTCAACAATATTAACTCCAATTTCATCTTGTGACTCAATGCTCTGATTTAAGGGCTTTAACAAAGTTGGTATGAACATATTATTCGCACCTATATTCCTCCTATTACCTTCTTTTAATGTACGCTTTTCATGTTTTGCCCTTTCGATTTCCTTTAACTCTTGATTCCTGCTCAATTTGTATGTTGCCCGAATATCAAGATAGTTTTGGATTTGATTATTTAAGTTACCATCACTCGTATTATCCCCGATAAACTTTTTAGTAGCACTATGAATGATGTTTGAAGATCTCGTTAAGTATGCCAAAAACTTATTTAAATCGTTCATATTATTAATTTTTTCTAGTTGTTCGTATTGTGACATGGCTGACTTAGGTTGGGTTATACTTTTCGTAATCGGTGTATTCTCTTGGTTCATCTTCTGCGGTCTAGTTTCATTATCGCTATTAAGTGCATCAAAAGTTATAACCCCATTTTGAACAAACTTTAGTTCGTTAATTTGGTTATTGATTACTTCGATATAATTCCTGATAAGCTCTTGTTCTTTCAATTTCGACAAATAGTTCATTTTCAAATCAGCCACTTGGTTAGGATCTGATCTTTCCACCGGCTTAGGTATATGGAGAGAAGCATTAGTCATATTAGCTGGCTTAGGAGTATCGGGACCTTCGTTAAGCCTTATATCACTATCCTCTATCTTTATGGCTTCGTTATGACCTATTTTGACTTTCTTCTTTCCATTGTTTCTATTTGTTTTCGAATTTATAGATGCAGTTGTTGATGCGGCATTCACGATGTCATTACCTGAATCTTCACCATTTGCGGTTGGTTTTCTTCCTGGGCGTGGCCTAGGTGGTAGAACCCACTTCTTCGACGTGTTGATATTCAATGAAATATCAGACTTCAAGGTGGACTTCGAGTTCATATCAAAATTTGTCGTGATAGGTTTATCAGGCGTCGACACGGCAATCGGAACCGGTTTTGGCTTAATACTAATAGCCGGTTTTATGTTTGGATACTTGTTTGGAATACTTCTCCCTTGGTTGTTTAAATCACCATGCATTTGTATCGAGGTTTGTCCATATGGGTGGGATGATTTATGCGACATGCTAGGAGCTATTCTCTGTTCCACTGAGCCCGTATCACCGGTACTATTATTCATGTTACCCAGTGTATATCTATTTGAAGGTATCGTCCCTTTTTCGTCTGCTAATTTATCTGTAGACATGTTCAAATACAATTCTATCGAATAAGTTTTGCTATAAATACATCAATAAAATGTCTTAACAATCTTTTTCACTGAAAATCCGGGGAGAAGTGTTGAAAGATGATTTCTAAACGGCGGTTTTTATTTTCCTTAATACAACTGAAAGTAAAATTTCTAACCGGAGTGAACTAAGTCTTCCCAAACTCCAGTACTTGTTATATGATATAGTATTTGCTTACGGTACGAAGGGATAAAGAAGTCATAAAATTAATTTTTTCAATTTTTCGTAGACTCGGTTAGCGGTTATTGCGGAAATAAACAAACTTCTAACGCATCATAGAAATGTTATCATTAAATAGTTCACCATTTAATTCCAAGCATAATACAATGAATCCACCGACATCTAACTCATCATTGAAACAAAGACACTTGAGTCATCTAAATTCTCAATTAGCCCAGTTGCATGCGAACTTATCTGACTTTAATGAATTGATAAACACTACATCAGCGCAGTTTAAATCTATAGAAAAAATGGGCATAATGCATGGTTCGTTGTTCATGGCCAGTCATACAGTATTCGAAAATGATAACTTTAGTCTGAGTGAACGTCAGGTCTAAAACTCAGCTTCAAACTAGAAATATTGGTCGCCAAAGCATTTGTTCGGATAAAGATACAGTTAAGTCTGCGGGAAGCATTCGTAGCTGTAATCGACATTACGAGAATTCCAACTCCACTAGAAGAGATATAAGACTTAACTAGAAACATGGTCTGTTAGGGGAATTGTCAGCCAAATTCACGATCAGTACTGGAATACAGACGGGATAATTTAAGTACTTAAGCGATGCCCAAATATATATATTTATAACTCAGACTACAGGTATGAATCATAAATAGATAATAATATTAATCCATATAGATTTAGTAATAGTATATACATGCTTAGGTCTTGTTTTCGGCGGCGGCTAATGATTCTCTGTACAATTTCCTCTTTTCCGCTTTTTCTTTGATAAGAATGTCTCTTTCTATATCAAGATATTCGATCTTTTGGAATTTCGCCACACACCCTTGTGCCTCGTTATTTGCTGTCTGACATTTGGACATACCTTCGAGTGCACTATAACTATTAGTGCATTCGATGTACTTCTTGATTAATTCATCACACCTCTGGAACGTCTTCTTTCTCCACCTTTCAAAAATGACCTTCTCTTCTTTTGGTGTAAGCATCCATGGAGGTAAGTTAGGGTTGGAGGGTAACTCGACGTCTTCAAACGTTTTCTTTTCTGGTAGAGGCATAATATTAGGTCATGAAGTGCTTATATTGACTAGTTAAAATTTCACTGGTGATTTTTTATCGCGCAGTTCTCTAAAAAAAAAACAAAAAGGCTTTTTACGAACACAGAATATAAACAAGGTATTAATATACTGATTTATTGTACCATTAGCATATATACTAGACTAATATGTTTCACGAAAAGCCAGATAAACTACTTCTATCATCGATAGAAAGCTTTGAAATTGAGCCGGATCTATTAACTTTAAGGAGAATAGAGGAGGTTATAAACAAGACAAACCAATACAGATCAAATATAATTGAAAATTATGAAACCAAACTAAATACCATGAAAAGTGAATTCCAGAATTTGATGTCAGAGATAAACTTGCTAACCAAGGTTAGTGGAATCAATTACGAAAATTTAAAGCTATTGGGTAATGGAGATGAGGAATCCATGGGAGATTTAAGCAACAAGAACATCTTTAATGTAATGAATGAGAAGTCGATAGAATTAGATAACCTCAAGTTGTCGCTAGCCAAAAACTTGAATGACTTAGAGAGCCAAATAAATTCCATGAATATAACAAAGAAAGATTTGATGGAAAAGTATGAGTTGGTGAAAATGAAGAACGATAATTTGATCAATGATAATATATTGAAGAACCCGGATTCGAAAGCCATCAAGATCAACATCTATAAAAACCTTGGAGTTGAAATCGAGAGTGGGGATGAAGGTGAAAGCGAAAACAAGCACGACAAGGTGATAATTTATAACAAGGAGACAAACTTATCAAGTATACTAAATATTGATGACAAGTACAGTGAATATTTCATCACCAATTACATATGGGATAGGCTCCAGGGTTACTAAAGGTATGTTAGAAGATGTATCTGGACTCCAGGGTTACTACAGGTGAGTTAGACATATCTATGCTTGGAACTGGATCTTGATCAAATAGTCTTATTGTGCTTAGAACAGTTGAGGTCGTCAGGTTACGATCATCCTGAGAACAGTTACAAATTTTAAATATAGAGCTGCTTTATGTAAAGATAAGGTTGGCTGGCCATGTTTATTTCTTTCATGAGGACGACTACGATGCCAGCTGACTCAAGAGCATATTTACTAATAACTTACAGTCTCTTCTCAAAAATATTGATTTAATTTATTACTATATACAGACATTAAATATAAGCATTCAAAAATGGCAATCTAGAAGTATTTTGGATTTTCTCTGAACGATATCTTGGTCCATTTAGGAACTCTATGGATTGATTTTCTATAATCTTTGGCCTTCTTGTCAAATGTAGTATATTTGTCTTTAGGCGTCATTTCATGTTCCTTTGGAAATTGAAACTTTAAGTAATCAATCTTGTCGTATCCGGTGGACTCGACATTATCTAATTTCAATGATTTATATAAAACTTCAATATTTTCATCGACTGTTTTCATTCTTCTTCTTAATCTGTATTTTTGGGGACCTGACATTCTTGGTGCTACTTTCCATAAGTAACCACCGCTCAACGATAAGGTTGACTTGAATGCACCAAACATATTTACTTAATACACTTGTAAGTAGTGAACCATGAGCTTCAAAATCAAGCATTTTATTCTTCAGAATTTTTCAGAAATAGTTGTGTGCGCATACCATTAATTATCTATGTATTTTATATAGGCCTATAACCTCTTCATTTATATGGGTGCTAGTATCTTAATTTCCATCTTTGGTATATCTTTGATAGAACGATGGAAGGATAGTTACATTTGTAAATCTAATATCACACTCTTGGAAGATATGTATTAACCATACGCTTCTGCAGCAGCTCTAACAAATAGCCTGTGTGGTATCTAATTCGATATGATCATCCACAAGAATTGTTTCTTAGTTTAATGCAGCGCCTGAATAATTGATTGTACAAAGGTATACTTTCATTATTTACAACTTACACGTATAATAATATTTTAAAGTACTCCGAATAGTATACGCACACTTTTCGCTTGGTATGATGGTATTCTTCATCTCATTATTTCAATCCTGTGAAGTAAAATTTGTGAACTGATGTGCTTCTTAGGACATGTTTTTTTGTTGTTCATCAAGTTCATAGTAACATTTTTCATAATCTCACAGGAGATACTTTCTACATATTAGTTGCATTTCATATTGCATATGAGTTTATTGCTAACGGTTACTTATTACTAACAGTTATCTTACTTAATGAAATCAACTTTCATTCCTATATCACTTCTTTACACGTTAATTCTTCAAACAATACAAGACGATATCGCCATAAATCCAATAAAATTAAATCAACTAATTTCGCAATAATTTTATAATTTAGCAACAATTTTAAAAAATCGGATCTACATAAGTATCTGAAGAAAATATATTGATCCAACTAAAAAGAAAGATGTTATGTTATTTAATTCTGTATCAAATTCTTCATAATTGCTATACACCGATGAAATATATCTCTTGCATTTTCTAATTCAATTTGATTCAGGTCTTTACATTTGCGTCAAATCCGCCCAATCCGCTCAACCCGTCCAGTCAGGCAAGTTCATATATCCTCCCACCAAAATCAAGCTATGGACTAACTTGATAGCAACCCAAATTTCGTAAAGCATAGCGAACTATAACCGATACTGAATTATATGCCTGGAAGTGATAAGACCATATTAGTAGTTGAATCTAGACGATAATAGAAAATTATTTAACAACCTCAAGCTTTAAATCGCCCAGAATGAGTGCATGTCGCATTGCACCCTTCCTAAAATATTAGACGTAATTCACCATACATACAATAGCGTACAACTAATTTTTTTTACCCTTGTCCGGGTTAAGATATAATTACCGAATCGCGCAATGAGCAACAATAACCTCATTGGTAAATAAAGAAAAATTTCGCTTCACCAGAACTATACAATTGTTACTTGAGTGGAGATTATGTTTACAGCATCCAGTTGACACGCCAATGTATATAGACTATTGTATAAGTGATATTTTCATGATGAATGAAATGGATACACAAGTTTCAGGCCGGTTCGGTATTGATTGAAAGTGACTCCACTAAAAATGTCGGACTATCTTTAGCGAAAAAAATTACCCCATAATTGCGCCAACGAGTGGGTGATTGAATATCCAGCCATCAAGCTATACGGCGGAATATGTACCCTACTAGTATAGACAGTCCCCAGTCAGTCTTCTACCACCCTCTGTTTTTCTAGATCATGTCATTTTGTTGGGGCGGTTTTATTATATGATACGACCTGAGTCATGTCATATGAAACCCAGTAGTCACAAATGCGCGAAATCTACCCCGAGCTACCAAACCCACCCTATAGCATGAACATGCAGTAGGACCAGCGGGCCAGGTAGTCAGACATGGGGTATGATGTGGTAATCGCTTGGAAGCGGAAGTAGTAATGGTGGCGAGATTCTTCCGTTCAAGAGCAAAGCACAATACTGTTCATTTACATGTCTACGTATTCAAGCTAAATGTAATAATTTCCTTGCGTAACCTCTATTAAATTAATATAAATCAAACCCCTAAACTATTTAATATTTTCATGACTTCATAAGATCAATATTGTAAACCATATACGCTATATATTAAGCGAGACTGCCTTACAAGCACGCCGTTAACCACTTTCTATAATTGTGTGACGTCGACGGCATATGCTCCGATAGTATATTTTGCTTCGATACGTCCACCGCATTGGCAGTAGTAGCATCCGTCTTGGAATTCACT